GCACGCCAAAAAAGAAGAAAGGCAGACTTAATTGTCACAAAAAAAAGAATGCCGATTCTAACATGCTACTCATCTACGTCAATGGCGCGTACTTTTCTCTCTTATAAAATCTTACAAAAAAAAGGACCGTGTTGTCGCATTTTCTCTCTTTCATAATGGCTGCTAGAAATATTGAGTAAACTGATAGATGAGGGCACAACACTCTTCATTTTCTGGCACCGATTAGAGAGAAGCAGAAAAACAAATAGTGAACATCTACCATCTATCGATAATTATTGTACACGAACAATTATCAAAAGCTTGGTACTTTCTATTGATTTCAATCCAGAATATTCGTAATATACTTATTGGGTCCATTTTTGCTGTTAAATATGTGTTAACAAACGATGAATAATTCAATTGATTATGGTAATGAAACCGATTCATTTACACGCTATTTTAATATCTATGTGAATCTCTTTTTTGTTACTTTTGGCAACGTTGGTAATCTACTCAAAGTGGGGTTTTTTCTTCAAAAACCTCTTCGTTCTTGTACATGCAGTGTCTTTATTCTTGTAGCAACATTCAGTAATTTTGCTACTCTTAATAATTTGCCACTTCATCGTTTTCTTACTAATGTCTATTTATCGTCGAATTGGATCGATGCTGGTGTTGGATGGTCAAAGATTGAGAAAACTGGATCGAATCCATCATATGATACTGTATCGAAGTTCGACATAATTGTATGTAAATTACGCATTTATTTTCACATGCTAAGCGCTAGTTTGACATTTCAAATGCTCTTACTTGCTTCAATCAATCGATTAAGTTGGAGTTGGCGACGTAAAAAGCATCAACAACAAAGTTGCTTTCGTCGAGTTGCCGACTATTTTTATCATCTCTCAAATGCATTCAAACTCTGTTTGGTCTCATGCATTGTTTGGGCCATTATTTCTCTTCAGCATGTCTTCAATTATACAATTGTTTCTCGTTCACAAGGTTGTGTTGCTCGAAACCTTATTCTTTGGACAATATGGGTCACTACTATTCATTGTCTTGTTTTACCGGTATTGATGATTCTGTTCGGTATACTAACGCTGAAAAATCTTCGAACATTACCAACCATTCGTTGTTTACATAATCGTCGTTATGATCAAAATCGTAAATTCGTTCAAATGTGTCATCATTGTGTTCATAGTCGACAATCAACTCAATATCAAATTGAAAAACAATTAACATTAATGATTATAGCTGAAATAATTGTGACTGTATTAACGTCATTTCCATATGCTGCTTACAGTTTCTATCGGCTTCTTACTATCAATAAACAAGTATATGAGACAAGAATTTCGAACAAGTCCAATTGGATTGAATTAATTATACGCGTTACTGTTTACTTAGAGCCGAGCTGTGGGTTTTATATTTATTTAATGACATTGACGACATTAAGAAAACGTTTTATTAATATACTTCTGAAAAAACTAACTTCTGCGTATTGTTGTTGGTGGTAGTTCGACTTCTAAAATGGTTACATGCGCATCTTGAAAGATGCAAAATTGCATACCGGCCGAAATAAAAATGAAATGTCCATCCAAAAATTCTTCATCGAAACACTATGATGTGATTTTTAACAAGACATCGAAAAATGGTGAACTATTGCCGAGGACCACAAAAAGTTGTATATTCGTGCTCGACTATCTTAGTGTATGTACGAAGACAAAAGAGAAAAATAAAATTATTCTTAAGTGATTTTTTCTCTTGCATGTCATCTTTCTATTTCTAGTAGTTAAGTTTCTCTAGTAAAAACAGTTTAGGACATAGTCTACCAGGAAATAATCATGAATACACGTCGCTTCTTCCGCATACAGTCCGTTAATTGAAATATCAATAATTGATTCGAAATTCTTAGTGCTTCTGTTTTGAAAATTACAATGCATCGTTGGTAATGTGAAGCATCAAATAGAATGGTTACCAATGCAATATCCTGTCCTAGGTTCATTCGTTCTATGTTCTACCTTTAGGTTGGGAATGTCAGTTGGTCATCAGTTCGTAGATGCTGGTGAAAGAAGACTTAGACTTGAAGTGAATTCATTCAAGAACAGAAGAGTCATAGACAGAGGTTCTATCGAGACAAGAAAAATCTATCGATAAAATCCGTTTCCTTATTGACAAGGAATAATTGCGTAGGATCATGAAAGAGATGTGGAACAGTTGCATGTTTCAGTGTTCGACTGGACTCAGATCAAGTGACGAAAGAAGTTTTGAATTTTGGAGTAGATCGGCAATATGAATATTTTGAACATACCAAAGACATTTTAAAGATTTTTTTTTTCATTCAAATATTCTATAAGAGAGGATGAAAAGCTTAATAGACCAAGAAGTTATGTATCACACAATCTTTTGTTCTACATCGCCGAGTTATTTTTATTGATGTCGAACAATAATCTATAACGAGTGCACTGTCTCTTCCATGGTAATATAAAAGTTGCAGGTTGTACACATAAGAAAAGAAAGATAGACAAGAAAAACTTGTATCACATAATCCTGTAATTCAAACTATGGAATATCGGGAAAATGTAAAGAACGAAACGAATTCAAGAACATATCCTTTATTTCCAACTACGAAATCAAAGAAAGAAAAACGGATTGAAAAATTTAATCTCTCAAGAGAAAGAGAACAGTGGTGAATATCAGGAATCAAGCTGGGTCAGCTCGGCTAGAGTCACAAACATTTGACACATGCCAGACACTGACATTTTGATTAGTATATGATAATAAATGGAGTCATCTGCTGTCAAGAAACTCAGAGAAAATACAGATACAAGGAAATGAGAGGTCTTTTAGTGTTAATGGAACAAAAATATTGACAATGTTTGTCTATACTGATAATAGATAAATCCAAGAGAAAAATTTCACTTTTATGGGAAAAATCTTCTTTCGGATTTTTTTCGTCCTAGCTAGATCGTTGGAATGGGACTCAATCTATCAAGCCAACATATTCTCCTGTCCATAATAAACGTAGAGTTAATCTGAGATGCTTTTAGAAATGATGATTATTGTTATTAAATTATTGAATGGTTCAGTCGATTGGTCAATGGTGTATTTATGAAGATGTAATAATTACGAAGAGTTCGAGAGTGAGTTTGAATGCACCCTTATGATAAAGGAAAATCACATTATTTGAACAAGTAGCGTTCATCAAAAGATTCATTCATTCTTTTCTAAAAGAAAGTTTATTCGCCAAAAGCGGAAGGTTTTGTTGTTTATCGATCGAATGTATAATCTAAAACATCAGCTTAGTTTGGAAACTATACAGACAGACAGAGAAACTCATTCTGTACAGATTCATGATAAAACATTTAAAATTGGATGATGTTTAGGTTTGAAATTGTAGTTTATTGGTGAAGTCAAGTTAGATGAAAACAACAATCCTCTGCTTATCCGAATCAACGTATATCTATCTCTATATATATATATTTACAGAGCTGCACCAGATAGACGACATCTTTTACTACACAGTGAAATACTGCCAAGTTCTGATTATTCATTTTATTAGAAGGAGAATGCTGCTTTGGTGACAAATGGTCATTTCTAGTATCGAGATTGGTTTGAAATTTGAAAATAGTGTTCTCATTCGAACACAATCATTCTCAGAACTCAAGAATGTTTCATTTTCTTACGAAAAATGGTTTTTATCTGATGTATTTCCGAAAAAAAGTATTACCGCGTGTATATCAGTTAGAATAGTCAAAAGAATGAACTCCATTGCTATGTTCGAACCTTTTTATCTTCCATGCCTTGATAAAAAAAACGCAACTTCATCTGTAAGTACCAACCAATTTCGCATGTTTTTTTATAAACCTATACAAAATAATGTCTTCTATCGATTTGCATAGTTTTCTAATAAAAAGAATATTTCTCTTATGCAGAACATAAGAAAAATCTGTTTGGCTCCTTTAGATTAGACGCATGTTGCATATCGACTGTTGCTACCCTGGTGCATTAGCTTTCATTAATAAAATGATTTGTTTATGTGTTTCATAAAAATCTTTCTGTTAATATTAAATCTGAATTCTCTCTTGCACTTTTAACTGAATATCATAAGAATAGATGAACGATTAATAATTTTTCAAAAGCTTAAATTTATTCGATACACTATTTATATTCAAGGTTTTCATATTCGAAATCTTTCTCACTTCCTCAGTCTATCTGTTCTATATATTGTTAAATACAAAAGTGAAAAACTATATCGATTTATTGTTTAACACTCTTTCCGATTTGTTCCATGTTTCTGTTTGCAAATCAAAGGTAGCGTACTTTTCATTATTATTCGATGCATAGTTCATTTGTATCTATAATGATTATGCTATAAAACCAGTCAATTGTCGACTAGAAAACAAGCTTTGAAAAGAACTCAACCGATGGTTAACTCTATTAATTTTAACATTACAATCTGATTTAATGAACTTCTACATATATTGCTTTTTACTTCAGACAAATGAACAAGCTTCAATAAGCCTATTCTTTCATTATAAAGGATCTTACAAGTTAGTATTTGGTACCAATAATGACATACTTCATACGAAGCATACACAATCACAGATTTGACTATAAAAACGTAAGTTGTAAATAATCTAGTAAAAGCAAAAATCAAGCTATCAAAGGTAAGTTTAAATTCATTAGAATTAATTCATAGTACTATCTCAATGAACTCTATTTCTAAAATATGTGAGTTCTTTATTCTTTCGCCACATTTTCCATGTTTTACACTATAAAAGACATATAAGACATGATTATTTTCACATTCAAAAGTTTCATTGAATAAAATCGATCATTTCATCTCAAGTAGAATTATTCCCCCCAAAATTTACTGTAGAACTATTCGCTTCATCTGTCCGAAACTCAAAATCAATTCTGCATCTCTGTCAGTAATCCAAATTAGTGTATTTCTTTTGTTAGTCTCTACCCAAATACTGCATAAGTGAAGCTTTTCTCTTTTTTTAAAGCCAAAAAAACAACTTCTATTTCTTTACATTTTCAAAATGTTCATTAACGTCTCGTTTCCATGCATTCACGAATTTCTCTTTCAAATCTTTTAGTACTCGAAATGATACTTCAGCTCCATATTGATCCCTTGGTAGCCATATATTTCCATCTTTTTCTGGATTAAGACGAAGTACACGTAAAAATAATGCATCTGTCGAAGCTCTATAAAATCGACATCTATCAGTATAACCAAAGTCAACTAAACCTGCCCAATCATATCTCAAACTTGAATTAACAGCAAATTCATTTGGAAAACATCCCAAATCTGGCAATTTATTATCTCTGACATTATTTCTCATTAATCCATCAAAAGTAGCCAACCGAGGTTCAAGAGTTTTCGAATTACGTGATTCAACAATTGATCGCCGTATCGTCTTCGCAATATTTGATAATGAATATGGATCATCAAAATTATCTGATAACATCATGAATACTGCATTCGAAACTTGACCTTGTGGAGCAATAGAATCAGAAATGCCACGAAAATTAATAACTGTATTTGTACGCAAAATACGATGTTCATCATTGTCATTATAACAATATGCATTAAGTGTTAATATAATATATGCTGTAAGTGCATCTTGTATTGTTACACTATTTCCACCAGCTAATGTTCGTAATTTAGCAAGTTGTTCACCAGAAAAATGAAGATTTAGTTGATCATAATGTACTTGATGATCTAAAACAGCGTTTATAACTTCTTCTGCAGGTTTAGCATCGCGTAATTGTTTCATCAAGGGTAACAATGCTTGATCAGCTTCATCTTCTCGCCATAAACGTCGTTCAAATATAGGTAATGGTTTTGTTGGTTCCATTTGTTGATAAAAGCGTGATAATGTATTAGAAAAATGCAAGCATGCAGCAGCATCACCTAATGGATGATACCAACTGATACCTAATGCCCATTCACCACTTTGTGCAATATGAGTTAATTTGAAGCGAACAAGTGGTTCATCAGATGAATTATTAAATAATTTAGTTACTTGAATTTCATCGATAAATGCTGATAGGCGTTTATCATTTACTTCTACTAAAGCATTTGAATTTAGAGGCCATTGTTTCAAATCATTATTAAGCACTAATGTTACCGGAATAGGATTATCACACATTTCAATGACATAATGTTGATCATTTTCTAACACAATACGACCACAAACAAGTGGCCATAAAGAAAGAGTACGACTAAGTGCTTGTTTAAATTGATCAATATTTATTTCAGAAGGATAGACAAATATATTATTGATGCATGCCAGGAGCCAAAGATCGATACCAGCAAGTTCAATACGATGATTATTTCCTGTTGGTGTTGAAGGTGATATGAAAAAAGATGATGCCATGTTACCACCTAGAAATTGATTTAGGAGTATATTGGTGTTTAAAATTTTATCTACTTATATAAATGAAAGAAAAATATAGACACGTTTGGCTTAGTTTATGGGTGTTTTTGATAGAACATATGGTTTCATGTCATTGATAAATAAAAAGATAATATCAGGTGTCTGTTGTGGCTTTGCTTTTGACGTCAAATGTCACGATATGGATTGTTTGCGATGAAGATAAGTGATATGTGAGAGTCAAATGAAATGGATGCCTGAAAGAGGACGCAGTCTGTTGAGACTTGAAAGTATGGATTTTATTTTCTATCGGTAATATCGACAAGTTTTGATGATAAGATATATACTCAAGATTCGTTTATGGAATTTTCAAGTAGTCGGTTTCATCACATTATTCATCGATATTTCTTCTAGCTATGTAAGAATGAATTATAAAATGTTTATAGTGAAGTGATGATTATTAATAAGTGCAATAATCTTAAGTTATATATATATTTGACTGAAGATGTATTGTACTTCTTTCAGTTTTTCTATGCTGTTCTACTTGTTTCTCATCAACGCATGATTATTTTCATTTAAAAAAATAATTTTTAATATTTAAACACTTCGAATACAAGTTATATTGCAATATAACTATGGAAGAAATTGATGGTCACGTTAAAAGTTCAGCATATTGTAAGGTTTCTTTTTCAAGCACTTCTTACCATAATTTGTACGAGTCTGCTAAACGCTAACAATGTATGCAGTAGAATTCATGCTTATATATTGAAATAACTCTATTAAGTACATCTCTGAAAGCTATTTATAACTTTTATGTATATATTACCTAGTTGAAAATTTCGTATTGAGAATATACATTAAACGGAAGGTAGACTGTAGGATGTAATGAGCTGTGGACAACTTTTCGATCGGTGAGATAAATGAAAATTTTAAGCGGAATCCAATCGTTCATGTCAAAAATGCTCGGTGTTAAAGGACTAAGTTAGAAGAACGCAACATCACACATTCATGAAAAATGATAATCCATGGGGAAAATGACTAAGAAAAATGTTCGAATCATTTTTTCTATGAAAGAAATACTTCAGTTTATGTTCCTCTTTATAGATGCTTTATCAGTGAAAAAAATAAAAATTTTCGGTAATATAGGGATTTCATTAGGAAAGAAGATCATTAGAAATGAAATAATGATTCAATTCAAGAGAAATGCTGTTCGCTCTATTATTGTATTGTACATTTGATAAAATGAAGGTTAATCATTAAAGCATTTTGCTATAGCGAAGAAGAAACAAGTGACTGATAGGCAAACGATTACATCAAAGGTAATGAAGAAAGCATTTAACAACAAGAATGCATCGGTTCGCACGTGGAGTTCATTGCTGTGTTTGTTTCTCTCTCAGACGTGTCTGGTACTTGAAGAGTGAATATTTTGTAGGAGTAAGTCAATCACGACAAATATGAGTTTGATAAACTAATCAACATTGGATCTACTATTCTTCACTGTTCGCTTTGTGACAGAGTGATAGAAACAAGAAACTCAATGAGTTTATGTCGGAAGTCTTCCGAAAAAATTGGGTTATCCTCTGGATTCTACTTAACGAATTATACATATAATCAAATTACAGTACTGTGATAATGAACTATATTCGATTTTTTTCTTCAGGATTATTTCAATTCTTAGAAATCATTTTTCTGTTAGATCTTCGTTTTTTTCTTAATCCTGTATGTACATATATACATTAGCATTCATATGTCTAGAGAGACATTTTTCTTCTTTTTCTATCGTTTTTCCTATGGGTAAAAAGTATTTCTCCAGATTATTTCAGTATTTTTCCGTTACATCCATGCATTTTTCGCCAGGAGTTTCATTGTTCCCAAGAGAATGTATGTATCTATGTGTACATTTATGCATTCATTCATCTGTAGATAGATATGGATTATGAATAGGTGTCCTTGTTCGGTACCGCTGTTATATTTCAATTGATATGTAAGATCGCATTTTGGACCTGAACGACATCTTTCCGCTGAAAATAATCATTTTTCCTATACCGATCAGATTATTGTCCCATGCTGGATGTAATTTTATTAACTGATAGTATTCGGTATTTATTAAATAATGTGCAACGAATTCAGTTCGAACACGAGATAATAGTAACCAATACTCAAATAAATTCTATGATGTGAACGCAAGTTGTTTTTGCAACATCGAAAAAAACCAATTGTCTACTAGCAGAAGTTTTTCAGACGAAATAAAGTTTCCTTAACATGTGTGTGAAACAATGTTTCGTCCTAGAATAGTTCTGTCAACATAATTTGAACACATTATCTTTCCGATGCATATGATTTTATGGGAATGATATTATATTTAATTGGCAAGTGCTTTATCGTGATTGATGTATCAATAAAATGTGCTTCGAAACGAGAGCAAAATTGTATGATCACGTCGTTTGTTATCAATAAAGTCTCAATGCGAAATTTCGTTAATTCGCCGAGCAGAGATCCATTTCACTAGAACACCTGATTTCTTTTAATTAAGAATAGAAATTGGAACCATAAATGTAAATCGATTCATACATCAGGATGTGAAAATGTAGACATACTTTTTTAAGTGGGTGAGACTCTTTAAGTTATTTATAGAAGAAAAAGATACAGATCTTCTTGATATAACTTTTATACCCGCCTTCATACATTTCCTCAATTATTACACTTTATTTCATTATAAATTTGTTCAATGGCAAATAAGAAATTTCTCGATGTAGCCCAGTTTTTCTGCTAGTATGCATTAGTCATTGGCTCAATCATTGTCTAGAAAATTTATTAACTTTAATGCAATGTTGATTATTGTTTTTAGTATTTGTACATTGTAGAAGTGAGAGCCATATATCACAAGATAATATTCATTTCATAAAGCATTCGTGTCTAAATATAAACCTGTACAAGTTTCTTATTTTTTTTGTTCTTACAGATTAAAATCACGTCAACGAGTATAGACAATGATATTATTCAAAGGTTACCTATTATCTCTCTTCAACTCAATCGTATTGTACCAATTTTTCAAATTATTCTTGGTACATTTGGAAATATCTTAAATATTCTCATATTTACTCGTCGAACACTTCGTAACAATCCATGTTCACTTTACTTTTTAGCATCATCTATCAATAATATCTTTGTCTTATATGTTGCAACATTAACACGTCTTCTTTCAAGTGGTTGGAAAATAGATCCAACAAATTATAATCTTACTCTTTGTAAATTAAGAATATTTTTTGTTTATTCATCACTTGCTCTTATTCAATAGTTTATGGTTCTTGCAAGTATTGATAGATATCTTTCAAGTTGTTAAAATGCTCGATATCGTCAAATGAGTAGTATATCAATATACATTTTATAGTAATATCGGTCGTTTAATAAATTATTTTAATCCAGTGGTTGGATTTTAATACTTAGAGTGTACCAAAAGTTCGGATCACGGCGTTTAAAGGTCCTTGTTGGATACGGTGACCTATCCAAAAATGAGAAACCAAATATTCCATTTTGTAGAGCTTTTCGAGGGGCATAGAATGGTATATAGTAAATTCTGTTTTCATAAGACTTTGAAGGAATTAAAGTCAATTTACTGATAGACGACTACATAGCCACACCCATCCATACCTACACCCACCCACATCCACATTTACAAGATGACCGAAGAAGCTACGTATATCAAGTTGTAGCCCGTCAAAAACTCTATAAAATCGTATATGAGAAAACATATTTTACAAATACTTTTGATTAATACCAAGGACCACAATATTCATTAGCTTATCATGCTTGAGGTAAGGACGTGGGTATGGATAGATGTGACTATGTAGTCGTCTATCAGCAGATTGACTTTAATTTCTTCAAAGTCTTATGAAAGTAGAATTTACTGTATACCATTATATGCGCCTTGAAAGGCTCTACAAAATGGTATATTTGGTTTCTTATTTCTGAATAGGTCACCTTATCCAACAAGGTCCTTTAAACGCCGCGATCCAAACTTTTGGTACACCCTAAGTATATAGGGTATACATTATCAAGTCAAACATTTCATAGTGAATTGAAATGTATGATTATGGAAGCAATGAAATTTATATTGACAAAATTAGGCTTGGAAAATGTATACCAATTAAAAGGTGAGGACAGGTTGGTAGAATTATATATGGGAAAACCGTGTTAACAATGGCAATCTAAAAAGATATTTCTTTGTCAGTGCATCTTGACAAAAAAATGACGAAGACTTCTGACGAATAATTGTCCAATGAAAAAAAATGAAAAAATGTCTCGTTGTTGTTTACCCTTCATTCCTGATTAAGTAAGTGCTTATTGCTATTGTATTATGTGCAAGAGAACTTGTGTTTATTAATCGTGTGAACTTAAAGTTTGTTAAAAAAAAGTACAATATTTCTATTCTTTCAAAGTGATGGAAAATGTTTACTTTTCTTTATCTAACCGTCAGTTTCTACCATGTTGTGATAGTGAATAAACATTCTAATGAATTTATTTATAAGGAAATAGAGAAAAAATGTTATTCTAAAGATATCTCTCAATAAGATGTTAATTATATGAATGAAAACAAGAAAAACGATGGTTATCTTCCGATTACGCTCTTATTCTTTTTGCTTGTTATGAAAAACAGTATATTTTATCATATCGATCCTTTCCTCTTGTAACCGGAAAAAATGTCTTATTTCGTGCTGTGAAATTTTATAATAATATAAATGAGAAGAAATGAACTTACTGGATAGTCTGATTGTTAACAAAATAATGAGTCGATATAAAATATCAGGAAAAGGTGTTGATTTTTTTCTCAAAAAAACATGCACAATTAACCTAAAGGCAAAAAAAAGAAATCGAGAAGATGTGTAAAAAAAGTGTCGAAGAAGAAATGGTACTTCCCTAGATCAATGACATCGCGAAACTCCATACTCTTCGATGTGCTCTACCAATTAGACAAATTAGTGTATAGGGTGTCGTCGATATGAAAACTAACCAAAAATAATGAAGCCTTTCAGATAATTATATTTATCTTAATGTGATAAGGATATAATACTTTATTAGGGAAAGACTATCGTTGTGTGATTTATTTCAGATAAGGAAATCTAAGTTTTTAATATTTTCTTCATTAGTAAAATAGGAGATCTTTTTTTCTTCTCCAAATGTCATGCTCTTAATATTTAAATGAGCGTTGTTTGCTGTTTTTTCTTTTACATTTCATTTGATTTTTTCAAGAAATTTTTACTCATCATTTTCTCACTTTGACATCCAACTATGTAAACTGTTTGCAAGTATTTAATTGCGTTTGAAGTAAGTAATTCGTAAGGAAGTGTTTGTTTTATGATAAACAGAGTGGACTTGCAGAGTTTTTATTGCTTAATTAATTTGAGAGCAGTGTTTACAAAAAAAAACACATCAATAGAAGATTTACAGTAGTGAACCAAAGTATCTGTGTCAGCCGAGTTTTATCATTGTATGTGTGAAAGGTCTGAAAATTTGTGTACACATATTTTATCAAGAGTATAGGCCATTGGTATTGTCGTGCCATTATTGCTTAATTACAAAAGGAGTTATGATGGACAGCACCTACGTTCTGTTCTCAGGATTATAACCTAAAAAAGATTCCTTAGAAAATTTCGTACTGTTTCTTACGAGAAACAAAACAAATTCTTCATATTTTTACATGTAGTTGAAATTTTGTTTACAGTCTTGTCTTCATTCAAAATGTAAGTTTAGTTGCTCGAATATTGATGTTTCCAAATTCTTGGAACTAGCAAGATTATCATCCGTTTCAGTTCTTTTTAGTTTAAGATTCGTTTCTGAAATCTGTAGCTAGTGACATTTAACTGTAAAGAAAGCGTCCTAGTGAGCTAGAATATAGTATTACAAATTGAGGAATCAACTGATAGAGAATACTCTTCTTTTTCAAGGTTATGAGGTTGATTTAGAAAATAAGTGGCATCCATCAACAACTTCCTCTGTAATTATGTAATAACGTCTTCGCAATACCAATTATCTATGTTCTTGATGAACTGCATGTACAGTAATTTTCAGACCTATAGCACATGAAGTGGCCGAGACCGATTGAGGCGAAGACTCTTACACTCTACTGTAAATTTGAGATGCGCTAAATAGTTTCAATTATACTAAAAAATTATCAATACACGGATCCATAATGACGATCGATAGGAACAGTCAATAGAGAAATTGCTCCTGTTTATGGAGAAATGATTCATCCTACATAATATCGTCTACATGAAGAAAACATGGATTCAAAGAATATAAGTCTAGATCTATTATTCAGTGTTCCTATTTACAAATTTGAAATCAAACTAATATCGATATTTTTTCTCTAAAACGATATACCGAAAGCATATTTGTGACTCGACGGTTGGAGTGTTGTTAAGACATCTGTCACGTTTGTGTGAGGAGGAGATCTAAAGTCTTATCTATGCACTTCAACAATTCTTTTAGATCATATGTCATAAAGATGATTCCACTTACAGGAAATTTAACACCTGCATCAGGTCATAGGATGATTTGCTCTGATAAAAAATAATATTCCTTTATATCCTTCTGAAATGATCTGAAACATAATTTTGTTAGAATACTTGTAAGCCTTTTTCTTCCTTGGATGAGAAACAATCAAGTACTGCTTTAAGTATTTACATTATCCGCTAATAACTCAGACATATTATAATGTTTTTTATTGTAGAATGTTGCTCAGGTGGTATAATATTTTTGGTCACATTCCATATACAAATAAATAAGCCTATGGATACTGAAACACTTTATCATGAATATTTTTAGATTCTAAAAATTCTTTCGTATATCGTTCACTTTATACCTCACGATTACAACAAAAATGAGTGATGATATTATTCAAAGATTACCTGTTATCTCTCTTCAACTCAATCGTATTGTACCAATTTTTCAAATTATTCTTGGTACATTTGGAAATATCTTAAATATTCTCATATTTACTCGTCGAACACTTCGTAACAATCCATGTTCACTTTACTTTTTAGCATCATCTATCAATAATATCTTTGTCTTATATGTTGCAACATTAACACGTCTTCTTTCAAGTGGTTGGAAAATAGATCCAACAAATTATAATCTTACTCTTTGTAAATTAAGAATATTTTTTGTTTATTCATCACTTGCTCTTATTCAATGGTTTATGGTTCTTGCAAGTATTGATAGATATCTTTCAAGTTGTCAAAATGCTCGATATCGTCAAATGAGTAGTATATCAATAGCTCGAAAAGTTATTGGATTAACCATTCTGATTATAGCTTTAGCACATTTTCATACATTTATTTGGTGGTCAGTAGATTATATTGGCTCAAAAACATATTGTAATATATTTATATATGATTATGAAATAGCATTTCAAGTATTTTTTCTTATACTAACATGTGCATTACCACCATTTCTAATGGCTTTATTTGGTACATTAACAATATTGAATGTTAGAAAACTTCGAACACAAGTTACTCCACTAAATAATGATGTTAGAAATGAACGTTTACGTTCAAAAGATCGTCAATTGATTATAATGCTTCTTATTCAAATTCTTGTTACAATTCTTTGTACACTTCCATTTTCAGTTGTTAACATAACATCCATGATTTTTCAATATTTAGTAACATTATCTGACTATGGTGATGCAATCAATACATTTTATAGTAATATCGGTCGTTTAGTAAATTATTTTAATCCAGTTGTTGGATTTTATATATATACATTATCAAGTCAAACATTTCGTAGTGAATTGAAATGTATGATTATGGAAGCAATGAAATTTATATTGACAACATTAGGTTTGGAAAAATGGTTACCAGTACAAAGAGAACAGAGAGGAGGAACATTCGTAAGTAAAGGACGAACAGGTGTTTGAGTAACAAAAAAGACGACAAGTAACTGTGATGACATATTCGTAAATATTAATTACGAAGCATTCTTTCAAAATATTATGTATATGTAAAAAGAAAACTTTGTCGTGATTTTTAGTTTTGAATGTTGTTTGTTGTGATTACCTAAGGTTTTCTCGTTTTGTTTTGTCCATTAGATAGTTTCTTATTGTATTGTATTTTTATCGGTTTTTCCTCTGTTAACCAGAAAAGAATTGTATGTGTCAAGTTGTGTTAACTCGTTGTAATCTATCCCATAATACTTCAATGTCCGGATCAAAAACATTATTGTAAGGTTTTGAACATTATTTGTATTGATGTCTAGAAGAAACAAGCATTATGATGATAGTGTTGGATGTTTAAATTC